ATTCGATACTAGACTTTTCAGTGCAGCAGCGGCATCAGCGCTACAATGGGGACTCCTTAAACTTTAATTTGGTTCATATATCGGGTTCCAAATTTGTAAGCGGGGCCCATAATTGTCTTTACTCCTTGTCTACACTCCATAATTAAAAGATTGAATATACTTAAATCGAATATCCCTAGATTCCCAGGCCCAAGAGCCAGGGTTCAGCAAAATGTCCCTAGTGTTGGAATAAGTGAGAATACCGTAAGATCGTAATGGCTTCTTGTTAAGGCGGTGGGTGGTCTTTTTCCTGATTTTTAATCTGTGCTAGGTTTTTTAATTATATTTTTAAATTAGTATAAACTGCAGTGATATTTCTTAAAATATTTATTACTCCTGTTGCTATATAGTCAGTACAGGTTCTTTAAACTTCCATTAAAGAAAAGATGAACTGTAGAAATATGCAAAACAATAATTTACCAGTTAAACTAATGATTTGTGGAAGCTGATGATTTATTGTTTAAAAGATGACGTCTTTACTTGTGAACGGAATGTTAAGACTTTAAAATAAGAAGTAAGTAGTTTTATTTTTTGTTCTGAATGTCCAACCCAACTAGGTATTACTTAAGTAAATAAATTCCTTATTCTGAAGTCTTTTTTTATATTTTTTTTTAATGTTTTCTATAGAAAGGAAATATTAACAGATTCTCTGCTTATATACTTTTATATAATATTCTTCTATTAGATTTGTACTTTCTAAAAATGCATGCTGTAGGTTTTTGATCGTAATATCATAAAATTGAGATATTGAGATACTTATGTGCCATAAGAATATATTAATTTTATTTATAACAAAATGTAGACAAGAATAAAACTTGTCTATTTTTTGTTACAATCTAAACGTCCATTATGTTTTCGTAAATGTTATTCAATTGCCAATACCATTTTGTACTGTTAATTATTAATGATTATACAATAACTAATCAACCATGATGAGAGTAACAGTTTTGAAATCTTGGCAACAAAATTACCACAGGAATTTTACGTGGGCTTATAAAATACTGTAAATGCAAACTGAAAAAACAATGTGTCACAATTACAAAGAAAAATATTAAGAGAAGAGAAAAGAAATAATTAGTTCTATATTAAACATAAGTGTGAATTTTATTAATTTGAATACCTTTATAGCATAATTTAAAATAATGTATGACGGCTTTAAAAATACAACTTGTTTTTTGTATTTTTACAAACAAGGAAAAAATCTTGGTAGTTACTTATTCACTTGAGTGTTGAATTATTGTCAAAATCGTATGATAAACATTGATTAGGAATTATTTAAATTGAATTAATAATGTTTGACTACATTATCAAATTTGCTGACAACTAAATGTTGGGACAAGCGCAAATCTTGCAGTTAAAATGTTTAAATTAGTTATAGGCCGCTTTGGTATAAACGTTAAAATTATTTTGTTTGCCCACTGACAGTTGGTCATTAATGCAAAACATTAAGTAGTGGTGGTGTTAGTAATCGTTAACATACTTAAATTTCATTAATTTAATTAAAATAATGGGTCGTGGAAAGGCTACGATCAAAAAATTACGTGAAATTATTATTCAGCAATACCATTCGGGTAAAACAATACGTAAAATTGCTAGTAATTTAACTATTCCAAATAGCGTAGTGTATAATATAGTAAAAAAATTCGGTGAGACTGCTAATGTGGATGTTCGGGGCAAAAGTTCGGGAAGACCAAAACGCGTTTCTCAAAGAGATTTGCGAAATTTAGTCAAAATATGCAAGTCAGCGAGAAGAAGCACCCTTCGAGAAATAACTGCTCAATGGAACACGGCAACTGGATTAAATATATCTAGAGAATGTTGCCGAAAATACATTCATAACTGTGGTCTGGGGTTTTACAAGGTAAGTTTAATCTTGAATGGTTCATCCAGTATCAAAAGTCTCATACATTTTTTTATTTAGGCTAAAGAAGAGCCGCTGTTGACAGAAATTCAAAAGAAAAACCGATATAATTGAGCAAGATCTAAACTACTCTGGACAAAAAATGAGTGGAATAAAATAATATTTAGTGATGAGGCTAAATTTGATGTTTGCGTTGGAGACCACCGTAAACGAATAATACGGAATAAAACAGAAGCCTTCCATAAAGATTGCCTGAAAAGGGTTGTTAAGTTTCCAAAGGGAATTATGGTTTGGGGCTGCATGTCGGCAAGGGGTTTAGGTACTTTAAAATTTATAGAGGGCACTGTAAATGCCCAAAAATATCAAGAAAACCGTACTTTTACCTAGTGCTCAAAAATTGTTTCCTGACAATGACTTCATATTTCAACAAAATGGAGCATCATGCCATTCAACAAAATCAACCAAAAAATAGTTTGGTGACAATAATATAAAGGTTTTGTCCCATCCAGCCAGCAGTCCGGATATAAATGTGATAGAAACCGTATGTCATAAAATGAAACAATATTTAAGAAACCACCCTCAACACACAACTTTTGATTTACGGACAAAACTACAAGAGATCTGGGACAATTTTTTTGTTGAAACGTGTCAATCTTTTGGTTAATACAATACCTGCAAGAGTCCAAGCAGTTGTTAAAGCTAAGGGTGATGTGGACCCCCTTATTAAATTTAGCTTTATTCTCGAATTGTCCCAACATTTAGTTGTCAGCAAATTTCACCCTTGAATGACAAAGTACTCTACTGTTAATATCGATTGCTTTACCAACGCACAGAAACATTTTCAAATAGTTTTAAGATATATTGTTATGTTTGTATTTAAAAGTATAAACAAAATAATTTAGTCGTTTTGATAAGCCATTATATTATTTCTGAAATATTAGCTTGTCCCAACATTTAGTTGTTAGGGCTCGTACAATAGGTGAATCTTTTTACTTAATCTTCCAAATTTAATTTTTATTTCGCACTATGGAGCTTTGTCTGATCTCTAAGATCCATATTAAATCTATAAATTGAGAAACAAATTTTTGGGAATACTTATTCTGTCTTTTAAATAATGCAAAGTAATATAATGTAATTATTACGCAGTAATAAAGAGGGAGATATGCCTTTAGTTGACTTAAGATCCGTTTATCTCTTATTTCAAAGTCGTACAGGTGGTTCTAATTTGTCACAATATTTTTGGGGCGAATAGTATTTAAAAAAATAAAAATACAATTTGTATATACTTTTTTCATAAATGTATGGAATATAGCCTTTTAAGAGGATAATAGATATCATATTTTTCTGATATCTGAGACATAATTTTTTTTTGTTAGAATGTTATATTTCATATTTAATGAATGTCTTAAAATATACATTTTTGAACATTTAATTCAGCGTTCATTGAGCACTTGTGGCGGTTAATACATTTTGGACACATTTAGCCAAGAGTTTTTTTTTTATACATTATCAAGTATGGCCCTTTTTCAGAAAAGTAGAATTACACTTTCCGAGTCCAAATAAATTCTTGGTATTTGAACATTAGTTATGTTGTTTTTTTTGCAAAACTATCATTCGTCAGTGGAATCCAGTGTTTTTTTCAGAAAACCAACTGTCTCGTAAGGCCAGAAAGCATAAACTATTCAGAGCCGTAACTGGATTAGATATAGAAATTGTGAGGGACAAGTCCATCCATTGTATGGCATTATTATAGTATTTTTTGCAAATGCAATACTTACATGGTATTTACTAAGATTTAACTTATAGAAACCTAGCAATATTTTTGTCTGATCTATTTAATTTTAAAATACAATTTCATATTATTCAGTGCAGTTTACTGTACAAGGGTTGTAGAAAATTGTGCTTTGAATTTTGTACACCAGAATTTCTTCACTCAAGGAAATTTACATGATTTCCTCCATGAATTCCTTTTAGTTCCTCTGACTTTCCCTTGAATTCTTCCAACTTCTGACTTCCCCTGAATTCCTCCGACTTCCCTTGAATTCCTCTGACTTCCCCTGAATTCTCACTTCATCTGAATTCCTCTTGAATTCCTCTGACTTCCTCTTAAATGAATGGGCTTTCCCTCGAATTCTTCGGACTTCCCGTAAATTCATCTGACTTCTTAAATTCTCGATATTTAAAAAAAAAAACAGAAACGAAAGAAAAAATGGATGTAAAAATGTATTACGTTTGCTCTATTTATATTTATAATTAGATGAACTCTCTAGAGACAACTAATGAGTAAATTTAAAAGTATACCTATTACTTGAATTGCATATAAATAGTTTCGGTAATAGACAGGGCGATTCCCAACAAGTGGAAAGAATTTAGAGGAGGAAAGGCATCAAAGATGTTGCAAACTGTGAAATCCGTGACAAATTTTTAACTGTTTAAAAATTACATGTTGAAGTAAAAAAATGATTTTTTAATTTTAATAGTTCAAAAAGTAATCAAAAAAATTTTTTTTGGTAATGTAATAAGTTCATTAAATTGCATTTTTGAAAGATTTGTAATCTATGTCACCATGTAACTTCTACACCAATGAAAATTATTTGAATTTCATATAGAATTTTGAAAAATACTATATAATGTAAAAATATCAAGAAAAAATTTCTATATTTAAGTAAAATATTCCTACATTTTGACATAAATATGTAATTTGTTCAAAGAATCTAATTGAATTGAATTTCAGTCTTATTCATACAGAATACGAATATGATATTTGTTATAATAACATACAACTACAGCACCAACTATGAATGGTATCTCAAATCCTGTGTATTACTAAAATTAATTATATGTTATGAATCTTTAAAAATAATGGAATCATCCATCTCTAAGTTACATAATAATAACAGAGTTATGAGATATAGACTTCGTAATATTCTTAGAAATTTTTTTATTTTTAAGTATCAATCGGTAGGATATATACTGGGCGTTAATGATAAGTTTTGCCAAACTTTAATGGCGTATTCTACCGATGAAAATAATCGTTGTGTAGTGTTTTGAAATCTCTCAAAAATATTAGGTATTGAATTTATTGTTACACATTTAACAATCAATAGAAAATGGTAAATAGCAACGTAGCTACTTAGGTTTCTTCTTATTTGATTTTCCAATAATCTAAAAACCAGTAAATTTTACGAATACATTACAAGAATACTTTATTGCCATAAATTGATTATACATTTTAAAAACATTTAAAATTATTTCAAAAACCAGTGGTGTACGATTTTTTTTTTTCAAAAAAGGTCCCCTACTTCCCCAATAACTAACTGGAGTGTATTTTGGATTAAATTATCCATGAAAAAATAGTCCCTATTAAAAAAATGTCCCCCAAATTTTATCACTCAATCTTTTATGCCAGCGAAGTTACAGGAAAAATAATATAAATATTTGAAACTTTTAACACCCTGTAGGGAAGCGTCCTATCAAAAATTTTTATAATTAAAGTTTGGCAAATATTATCATTAACACCCTGTATTTTGTTTTACATTTATTACTATTTCTGAATATGAAATATATGAAATGAGATTAATTATAATACAGATGTTAATGATAATTTATTGAATCTGTTTTCAAAACAAAAAAAAAAACTAAATAAAAAATGGACACCTGTACATTTCCATTGTTTTAAATATTATTAAATATAGGCACTAATAATAAATTAAATTTTTAAAGCACCTTAAACATTACTAATTAACCCAAATTTTATAAATACATGTTAAAAGTTTTTTGAAATCATAATTTAAAATTAGAATAACAATTTAACCATCAGTTAAAATATAGACGAATAAAATAATTTCTTTATAAATATCCTGTATTTTTTGCAGATATTTAAACAGAAAAAGGTAACATTTTTTTTAAATTTAGATTTTCAGGAAATAATTTATGTCTGAAGGATAAAGATAGTTTTAATTTAAAATAATGGATTTAAAAATTCTAGATTTTAAGAAGACATGTAATTTTAGTGACATGTGTATATAATTTAATTAGCAGTTATTCTACACGAAATAAAAAACTGTTTGACACTGTATAGCGCTCCTACCTTAGATGTCATGCTAGAGTATCTCGATTATTATTCAAAATATAGTAAGGGCCACTTTTTTTATAGAAATCTTCAGATCAAAACAATTTTTTTATAATGTATACCCTACTTGAATATGGATTAGTCAAAAATTAAAAAAAAACATAATTTATAATATGTACTTATCTCAAAAAGTAAAAAGGTTCGTAGTTGTTCCTTTTTCCCAATTAAAAAAAACAGTGGAGTTGACCAAGACTAAAAACAAATACTGTTACTACTACTAATAAATATAATTTGGTATAGATGCTTTCGTAATTACTTTATTCAAGGATATCTTTATAAAATATATTCGTATTTTCATTTTAAAGATCGACCAGTACCAGAAGCGCATGTTTTCATTTGCCCCAAAATGGGGCGCGACAAATGGCATTTTGTTTAAGATGTTTTTTTAAAATACTAAAAACGTAATTAATATGTGACTAAGTATACAATTGTACTGAAAATTGTACCTTATATTTCAAGGTTGGCAATATGGATTTTGACCTCAAAATAGTCGTTGATTGTGGTACTACAATTTAGCGACTTTTATTTCATTCCATTAGTGAGTGGTGAGGTAAATAGAAATTTATTCAAATATTGATTGTTTTGTAATTTTTTATAAAACACATTACATATTTATTTTAATGTGCGTTTCTAAACATTAAAAAAAATTAATAAAATTTTTACATTTAAGTATCCAATTAAATAAGAAAGTAATGAAAATTTTATTTATATGCAATAGTTAAAAACAATACAATTTGAACAATATTTAAATAAAATTATATTTTTTGATTTTAGAATAAGTCTAATATTCTGTTTTTAGCTTCAGTTAAGTAAATATATGATATATGGTGACGTGTTCTAGAAGAAAGAACAAATAACCAATTTCTATTTACATTACTGATAATAACCAGCTATACAGGGTGATTCAGAACTTATCTGAAAAAAAAAATTGATGTAGAGGGGACTTATAAATACAATTTTGTAAAAAAGAAATCTAAAATGGCAGTTCGAATGTGATTTAAAAATATACTTCTGCAGGGCACTGGAAACTGGTCCACTGTAAAACCTGACTTTGTGCAAAGCAAAGCATGTAGTCCTAAACCAGCACAACGGCAAAGTGTAATAAAAAATGAACGGACAAAAAATTTAAAGAATTTCTTTCCCAAGGAAAGAAATAGAATTTTATGACTCCTATTTTATATCAGCAAATTCAACTGCTTTTGACGCTATTGATATTATTAATTAATAAAATTAATTTGAAGTTTTAAAATACATTTGGGCCCGTCGTACATAGTTCCTACGAACTAACACAAATGTTCTCTTGCTTTACCATAACACAAATACTTCACCATAACACAAATACTTCACTGTAACACAAATGTTGTCATTCTTCACCATAAATTAAAATGATATCCATCAACTCCAAGTTGCTATACACGTGACATTTTTGACACTTGGAAAAGTAATGTAATATCTACTAAAATCGGATTTCAGTATTCGGAATCGCCTGGGGCCACATGGAGAGAGAAAGAATTGTGTACAGCACACAACACGAATAATGCTAGTAACTACAGGAGGTCCAGCGATGTAAGGGTTTTACATACACTACAACTTCAGAAACAATAAGGATTTTACAAAAAATTTTTTACTCCATTTTCATGACGCATCTATTCTCAAATTTTTTCCGATAAGTTGTGAATCACCCTGTATACAGTAGTGACACCAAATTCTGTTTACTAGTCATTTATGTTTAATCTTGGCCAATTCCACTCTTTTTTTATATTAGAAAAAAAAGTGGCTTTAAAGTTTTTATTATGAGAAATATTACAAATATATTTTTAGAAAGGGCTGAATACCTTTTAACTAGGCTATGACCAGTTATGATTCCCATATATAAAAAATAATTGAATTGTATTACTATTCAAAAAAAATTAAGTACTCCACTGGACTCTATGTGAAAAAGTCTAAAATAGAAATTGTCAATATTCCAGAAATATTTCCAACTGTAACCACTACAGGTTTACAATTGGGGTTTGGTACTGAAAATGTCAAAAAATCCGTTTTGACCTAAAGATTTCTCTATGAAAAGTTTCCAACGTTTGCGAAAACCACAACTTTCTGTCTTCAAAAATAATTAGATAAATATCCTGGAATGGCATCAGAAATATTATGCATAGTGCAGTTTGATATTTTGCTATATAGGATTAATTTGAGATGGTTGTAAACGTCAATTTATAGATAATATTAAGGCCTGGTACTTTTAGTCTCGGTTAAAGCTTGATACTACTAAATATCACTTTAAAGCAAAAAACATTTTCAAGTTTAAATTTAATTTTTAATCAAATTGACATTGATGAAAAACAAGGAATTATATAAAACTATTTAAATGATATATTTTTTTACACAAGAAATGCTGAAGCAAGCTGCATAACTTGAAATAATGGTCTTAAAACTTTTTTATGTCGTGTTTAAAGAAATTAATTTTAGGAATACATTTTCAGTATCTTTCATGGATCACAGTTTTTCTGTGATGTATATAATTCCTGTGAATTTTTTATTTTCATGATATAGCAATTAAATGTTAATCTACATTATTTACGTCTCTAAATATTTTAAAGATTAATTTCATTGACAGGTTTACAATTTTTTATTTAGATTTGTCGTAGATTCAAAACAGTTTTAGACATTTATTTAAGTTTTAAATTTTGAGAATAGGATTCCTCAATTAGTAATAATCATTTCCAGAATTATCTTTGCATTATTTTGTAAGTGTTACACATTTAGGTGGTTTGGATTGAATTTGTTGTTATTAAATAAATTATTTTTTTCAGTTCACATTAAGCATTCACGATGGCTAGAAAAGGAGATACAATTAGGAGCATCAATGTGGCTGTAGTAGGTTTGTCAGGAGTAGAGAAAGACAAAGGCCACGCTGGAGTCGGAAAGTCTTGTTTCTGCAATCGTTTCATGCGACCATATGCCGAGGATTACAATATCGATCATATTTCAGTCTTAAGTCAAACTGATTTTAGTGGACGAGTTGTAAATAATGATCATTTTTTGTATTGGGGGGAAGTTATTAAAACTTCAGAAGAGGGAGTTGATTATCAATTTAGTGTCATTGAACAAACTGAATTTATTGACGATGCCTCCTTTCAACCATTCAAAGGAGGAAAAATGGAGCCGTATGTCAAACGTTGTGCCGCAACAAAGTTGACTTCTGCAGAAAAACTTATGTACATCTGCAAAAATCAATTAGGTATAGAGAAAGAATATGAACAGAAGGTATTGCCTGATGGAAAGATAAGTATCGATGGATTTATTTGTCTCTTTGATATAAGTATTGTGCCAAGTAGAAGTATTGAAAAACAAGTGGAATTTGTGTCAGCTATATTAAACAACTTAATTAAAACAAAGAAGCCAATTGTATTTATTACAACAAAAAATGATGATGCAAATGATATTTATGTGAGAGAGGCTCATAAGTTAATTCAGAGAAATGAATATAAAAATAACATTCCAATAGTCGAGTCATCGGCTCATGACAGTGTTAATATTGACATAGGTTTTATGCTGCTTGCCCAGATGATAGACAAAACTAAAATTAGATCTAAGGTACCGACATATACTGAAGCTGCTCTCGCCAGGAAAGAAATAATGGACGCAGCTAGTGATGCATTTATGAGACTGATACGAGTTCACGTGACTGATTGTCATGCTATGTGGTCTCAAACCGTTAAGAAATTGAATTCTCATAAAGAATGGATTCATTTTGTGCAGTTATTTGGTCTTGATGGAACTCAGAGGCTATTCAGAAGACATATTAAAAAATTAAAAGACGAACAACTAGCTAAACAAGTTGCTCATTACATGGAAATGCTGCCGGATGTATTACATGAATTAGTTCCAGGTTTTAATACTTTAACAGACATGGACTGGACATCCATCCAACAATATTTGAAATCTCACCCCAACTTTTCTCAGTATTTCTTTGAACGGCCAGAAGATTTACCTTGGTCTGAATGTTTAGAAGATAATGAAGAAACTCGAATTCCATTTGATGTATTAGATACTAGTGAGGCAGAAACTGTCTTTAAAAATCACATAAATGTACTTCAACAGGAGCAGAAACGATTAGAATGGAAAAAGCAGTTTAAACAATTACTTGAAGATACAGGTTACGTAACACCAGGAAAACATTTATCAGAAGTAAGAGTTCTGTTCATGGGAAGAGAGTGTTTTGAAGCTCTTTCTGAGCACGACTGTCAACAAATATATGATGCACATCAACGAGAACTAATTGAGAACGCTAAACATAATTTTCAAGAATTATTACTAGAGCATGCCGATTTGTTTTATCATTTTAAAAGCATTGCTCCAACTGGAACAATTACTCAAGATGATATAAAAGAAATTACAGATGTTTTGCAAGATGACTTTAGATACAAAATATTAGATAGGCTTGATCAGGATCGGAAGCTTACTCTTTTCCAGCATTTGGGTTTTATTCACTACCCTATTAGAGAACATTGTCCAGCATTTCCTAATTGTCAAGATGCTTTAATTGAAAGAATTTTGGCTACAAAAGCGCACAGACCTACATCATGGAACCACAGTAACCAGTGGTTAATGAGTTCTGACAATAATCAACTCAATTTACTTATATTAGCTTTAAATAATTTGGCAGAAAATTTAGCCGTTAAAATTAGAGCACAGTGTGATGATGATGAGTATGAAATAGATTGTCAATTTTACAGTTTGGATTATAGAATTATAAGTGGAGATGTTAGTCTGCCTCATAATTCTTTCAGAACTTCAGATTTTATACCTCACGGTAGTTTCTGTGTCTATTCTAATGCAGAATCTTTTGAATACATTAGGGAAAGTTTAGAAAAAAAATTGTTGTCAAACTTGGAACAAGACGACAAATTACCTTTCCAGGGATTACCAATTGTATTAATGTTTTTACAAGATTCTACCATAGATGAAAAAGAAGTATTGAGATTGAGGGAAGATGGACAAAATTTGGCCGACAGTTTACAGTGCCCTTTCATGGACGTTTGTTTAGATCAAATTACTGAAGAGCAATTGGTTTCGGATGCACTTCATCAACTGGTACAAAGCATTCATCACCGAGCTGGTTTCTTGAACATAAATCAATCGGTTATCGAGTGTGTTGAGCCTGACATAAGAATTATCATGTGTATGTTTTGTGGAGATCCGTATTCTGTAGAAAATGTGTTGGCTCCACTTTTATCACACCAGTTTTGCTTCCTTTCTTCCGCCCATAGCATTATTTTAGAGACATTCTTGGGTGATTCAAAAAGGAAAGTAGAAGTTATTGTTTCATCATTCCACGGAGCAAATGCATTTCGAGATGAACTAGTTCACGGTTTTATTTTAGTATATTCTACTAAACGGAAAGCTTCATTAGCTACTTTAAATGCATTCTCGATGAACATTCCAAATTTGCCAATTCAAATATTAGCTGTAACGGAAAGTGGAGGGGCAAGTGCATTTTTCAATGATGATTTAAGCCAAATTTTAATAACGGAAGGCAATGCTACTGCTGACAGACTTCGTGCTCATTTTATGACTTCGACATCTTCTATGCAAAACAAGACAGCATTTTTTACACCTTTTTTTAAAGAAGTTTGGGAGAAGAAGCCTGAAATTGAACAAGCATTCCACATGGAAGAACCTTCAGGATTAGATAGTGGTGAGGGTACGTTGGAAAGGTCCAGGAGTCAAAGACATAGCCATCCCATGCCACCCCCGAGACATGAGAGTTACTACCTGAAATTAAATGATGGCAGCGAGAGTGAAAATTTTGAACTAAGCGGACCCGATGAGAGGCTCAGTTCCAGCGACCACAGTGATAAATTTTCAGGAATATATATGTACGGTAGTGAAGGAAGTGAAAAGAAACGTCATATCCATTCAGGTTTTCACGTTTATCCTCCACCGGCAACTCCACCAGAACCTGCTCCACCAGATAATCTCAATACAAGACACTCTAAAAAGTCACTTTTGTCAACTTCCCAAACCAGCTTAGATGAAATAACGTATGGAGACCCACCCATGTCCATACCTGGTAGTGCTTGGAATAATTATCAACAACACGCTTTTACTACAGGCAGGAGGCATATCCCTACTACTAAATCGAGATCAAAAGGTGTATCACAAACATTGAAACAGCCGGGGAAGTTGAATATGAAAAACTATTCAGCCGTAACAGAAGCTATTGCAAGAATGAATGTTGGAGGTGTTGATATTGGTTCTGCCAATTTTGGTAATGCTCCTCTTGCCACTCCTGAGGCAGTTGATTTGGGATGTGAATATGCACAAGTAAAGGATATGGTTCATAACATGTATCCCGGACAAGATGCAGAATATATGTATACGATGGTACATGATGCTATCAGTGGTAAATCGAAGTTGAGACAGAGACGAGAGAAAGGACAACCTTCTTACTCAGACACAGATAGTGAGTGGAGTAGTTTAGAAAGAAGACAACGTGCAAGTGAGATTTATTCAAAGGTTAATCGGAAGGGTGGCACACATAAGAGGCAGAGAAAAAAAAGAACTGCTATCCCTGTACAACCTCCAAGAGTTCCACAGCTTGGGACTTTTACATCACCTTCTGTGCACACTCCAGTTTTGGATATAGATGGAGATAAAGCCAATATAGCAACTGAATCAAATTCTGACTCATCTGATGTGAGCGAACCTGAACAATTCCATCCTGCAAGCGGTTCTGATATCCGTCTTAGATTTTCACAGAAACGTTCCTTAAGTTTGAAGAAAAGAATTCCAGACCTTCCAAACTCGCACCACTTTAATATACAGTTAAATTCCTTGGATCTTTATCCTGGTCAAGGTCTAATGCATGATGATGAGTCTAGTTTAGATGTTTCTTCTCCACGAGATAATAATTCACCCATGTTTGGCGTTTTGCCAAAAATGAAAGAATCTGATGTGGAAAAAATTCTCCGAAAGAGGGAAAAACAAAAAGCGAAGGATGACTCTAAATTAGAGAAGCGGAGACTAAAGGAGGAAAAACTGAGGAAAGTGGCTGAGGAGCGAGACAAGAAAAAACAGCTGAAAACTAAACAGAAGACCATACCGCCTAGTGGAATGCCGTCTAAATTAGCTGATTATATACAGTCTGACAAAAATTATATTCCAGTGTTTATGGAAAAATGTGTGAAGTTTATAGAAAGTGAAGGATTAGATTCTGAAGGCATCTATAGAGTTCCTGGTAATAGAGCACATGTTGATTTACTTTTCCATAAATTTGAAGAAGACTCAAATGTTGACATCCACGAACTAGACATTCCCGTAAACGCTGTTGCTACTGCTCTTAAAGATTTTGTTTCTAAAAGATTACCACCACTATTCGATTCTGAAGTAATGTCAGAAATGGAGGATATAGCTGGAACTAGGCTTAAACCAATGGCTACTACAACAGGAAATATTGAAGTTAAAACTGATCGAAGCTGTCGCCTTTTGGCATTAAGAAGTATGTTAGATAAATTACCCCCTATCAATTTCCAAGTTTTGAAATTTATATTTCAACATTTTGTAAAAGTTACTGAAAATTCCAAACTGAACAGCATGGATAGCAAAAATTTGGCAATCTGTTGGTGGCCTACATTGCTACCTATTGAATTCAGTGACATGGGAAGATTTGAACAAATGCGACCATATCTGGAGGACATTGTACAAACAATGATTGATCAGTACCCATTTTTATTTTGTGGTAAAGAGGCATTTGTTATGGTTTAAATGCTTAACAATATGTAAAACACGCACAATTTGCTACTGCAGCCTCTTATCATCGGTATTTTTCACCATTTTACTATAGTTGTATTTGGAGAGGCCTTTTTTGCAAGTACGATGTAGCAAATAGTTTGTTCACTCATTGTTATTGACTATGTGATGACCCAGCAGTACTTTGTATTTTTACATTATCCTGTAGATGGAGTATTTAAATTTGCTGTGTGACAATTTTGTAATTGAAATGTATGAACACTGTTCCATGTAACCTGAATGGGTTGTTGTGTAATACAGTAGGATAGTGGATGTTGTATCCTTTTCAATATCAACGAGAATGTAGCAGTTGCTACTTTGTCCATTATAATAACAATTTTAATGTTCTAATTTGTACTAGAAATAGATGGATGATGGTTTGAAAACATAAAGTTCCATATTACAAAAAAAATGTATTTGAGCTTTAAAATTTTTAAATGTAACTGGATGATAGAGATTTTTTTATTTATTGGTGCTGATAAACCCCAGGTGCAATTGTTATATAAAATATATATTGTGACAATAAATGTGATCTGATTTTTAAAATAATATTAGTAATACTCATTTCCATCGATAGAAAAACTTGTGATTTGACTTCACCCCGAATATTTACGTAATATTTTTATATGGTTTTAATTATTTATTATATGTTTTATTTTAATTTCTAGGTACCTCTGTATGGTATAATTATTATTAAGTGCCATTTATTCATTTTTTAAAGAAAAATTATTTTTTTACACTTCCTAAGGGACTACTTATATTTGTTTTTCTACAAACGTCAAAAAATTTGCGCATTGACAACAATATGCGAAGTGACACTTTTTTTCGGATTCTTACATTACCATGACACCGTGCACGAAATACTTCGCGCACTAGGGTGCGGACTATTTCGCACACTGCATGTAAATTAATAAGGGTTTTGTATTTCAATCTTTGAAAAAATGAAGCAAAACTCCATTTTTCTTTTTCCTTTTTCTTTTCCTTAGCATTAAGTGTTGATTTTAGCATAGAATATACTGCCCATAATGTGGAAGGCTTCACCTTCTTGGATCTTTCTGCAAAATATGCTAACAGCACATTTTCGGATGCTTTTCTTGCTTTATTTTTTTCACACCACTCCTTAAATTGCCGATATGCATTTTCATATTGGCGCTTCGATTTTTCCAGTAAAAGATTTGAAGTTACCAAATTGGCCGCATCTGCCAAATTAGGTGGGGTACTACTTAGTTCATCGTCACTAACAATTTCCATTATTTTAAATAATATCTGGCACTTAAAAATTGAAGACGCGAGCACAAACGTCACTTTAAAATAATTATTATTGTTGTCAACAACAGCCACTTTGTTTTCATAGTAACAGTGAAAATTTGATTAGGAAAGACATTTTAAGCCAGCTCAACACTATTTTCTATAATAAATTAGGCATTTTACTTATTTATAATATTTTTAAGAGATAGATTTTGACGTTTGTAGAAAAAATATTGTTTGCATCTCGTGCGCGAATTACTTTGGTGGTCTCGAATAATTTTTTAACTCGGCTTCGCCTCGTTAAAAAAATTCAATTCTCGATCACCAAAGTAGCATTTCGCGAACTAGATACAAAAATAACTATTTATATTATTTTTATAATTGTCATGTTATTCTGTGATTTTCGTAATTATTTTTACTTTTTCAATTTTCAAAATTTTAACATTTGATAAATATTTCCTCATCATTAAGGCAAACATGACAGACCATTCAAAAAATAAAGTAAAATTGGATTATTACTGTGTAAAGATCTATTATTATAATAAATTTAGTCAGCAAGTTTCGTAAATATACACAATATTTAAAAGACAGTATTACAGAATAACATGCTGATTTGTTTCACGTCTATAAGAACAAATTATCTATGTCATGACGCCGTACTAATAATGTAAATAAATTTTTCGATACTTTGTCTGTCAAACAGTTACATTATTTTATATTAATTAGAAAATGAGTTTTGTAGTATGGTCCTCCAATAATTAAAATCTCAATTACAAATTATGTAAGACTGAGTCATATTGTGTTGACTTGGAGTGCCAATATATTTCTAGTCTCCCTACATGGCAGTTTTTGCAACACTGCAGTTATTATTTTTTATTTTTTAATAAAAAGAAATCTGATTTACATTTGGTGGCAATGGCATGCTATATGGTAGTTCATGCATATGCGGTCTATATCTAATTTTTACTTGGTTGATGTAATTTGTGTCGTATCATATTGCAGTTTATGTTTTTGTATTACTGGAACATAACATCTTTTAATAACTTTTATTGCCGCAATATGCTTGGTACCAAATATAAATCGGTTTTGCAAGATTTTAATTATCAAAGTATTAATTTTAAATGTATTATTGTTCTATATAAGTATTATAATATTGTTCCCAATAGGAATTGATCAGAAAAAAGTATCACCAGAGCAGCTTGGGCACTTGGTAATATATTTTTATATTTTAATTGCTTATCAGCTTTGTAGTGTTGTAATATTTTTACATTTCAATTATCAGCACATTGTTTAGACCCCTAAAGTTGTATTTTCAAAACAGCTTATAGTTTGTAAAAAGAGTGATTTTGATTAATGTGCAATTTGAAATATTTGCCATGTCTAAAGAAAAGTGCAAAACAATAAGTAGTATTTATTTTTTAAGAGTGATTTTTATATCTTGCATACAGCTTTAGGACTCAGAAAATGTGAGTTAGTCTCTAATATTAAATCAGTGTACCATATGTGGATATATAGTAGATCTCTTAATGCCTAGATTTAAGAATTGATTCGTATTGTTAGAATGTATATATGTAAACAAACAGAACAATGTTTATTTATGCTTTATATTTATATTTATTCACTGTATTCATACCAGCTTACATGTACTACTTTTCAATGTTGTTGGTTTATTTTGTAAAATTCTTCATTTATAAATTTGTATTTCTGTTTTAATAAATAAATATTTACAAAAAAATTAGCCTATGATGTATTTTATTTTACCTGGAAACTGTAGATATACATATTTTAAAATTATTTATTACTGTCTGTATAAGGTAAATCAAAAAAGAAACAAAATATTTTTAGTTCTTATTAACGATGTGTCTTAATGGAACTTTTGTCTTTACTGGATTTTGTAAATTATTTAGTTTGATAGTTGGCACAATATTTTGGTTTATTTATTGATCTTGCACATGTTCTGATTGTCATGCATCCGCTACATAGGTTTTCCAGTTCTTTGAAGTTGAAAGTACGTGGCTGCTCCTCTTCATCGACTTTTTATTTCTGGTGGAATTAAAATTTTTTCTAGCAAATTTCGCTTTTAGCATAAAATGGTGAAATAAAATATTTCACGCATATTCATATATTTAATACATAGACCACCTAGACTGGCTTATAGAGCGACTGGTGAAAACACTTTGGAGCCTGATTTGGATCCCAGCACTCAGTCGTGTCCTAGCATTTGATGTGTACGCATCGCTGTGATTTCGATAATTGGACGTTTTATCATGGCAAGTGTATTGTAAAACATTGTATAAATAGAAGTGATCGAGTTGGTGAAGAGAGGCGAAAAGTTTCCTTCTTTAGGTAAGTAAAAAAAAAAGGAATATATAAAAGGTAAATATGTACGCCATTTTTCGGTTAACATCACAAGTTTCCAGGGTTAGTTTTATAATTTTGTTCGCCCACATAGTGTAGTGATTAACGTGATATTGTTAAAATATTTTTAGTAATTATTCACTTTATGCGAGTTAAATTTTTAAAATTTTACCAATTCCCGTCATTTCGAGATAGCTGAAAATTAATTAAATATTTTTTCAATTAAAAAAATCGCAAACAAAACTAATTTCAGATTCAGTATTCGTACAGTCAATTAATTTTCAAGATCGTGGTTGTTTGACATATCCATCTCGAGATGTAGTAATATGCTAAGAAACAGAAAAATTAATAAAATATTTAAATAATGATGAAAGCAGAACACCTAGGCTACAGAAAAATAAAATTGTTTATCATTTATTAAAAAACTTTCTGAATGTGAACATATTTGAAAATTTGCATGAACATCAATTTGATAATTTGCCTAACAATTGTAATCTTTTAATAGAACTTGTAAGGGCTGAATGTGAAAAGTATATCGATGTACGAATAAATCATGAAGCCAAATTATTTAATTCGGTGAAATCTACGAAAAGACAAATATTAAATAAATTAATATTATTTAGAGGATAATAAATATATTTAAATTATTTTGTAGTTTTATTTAATATGATACTAAAATATACTATTTTCTGAATTACAAACTTAAAATTGAATATTTGTTATAAGATGCAATATAATGTTTAATATGTAATAAAAATATTACTTAATCCGGATCTGCTTAAAGATGCCCGCGATCAGATTGCCTTCCACACTCCACTTCCCCGGATTTTGCATTCACTGGTACCCGTGCATTGGAATTAGATATGGCCAGTCTAGGTGGTCTGTGATTTAATACTAAATATATTCATATACAGGTATGTAAAAGTAAATGTTATAAGAATGTTATGTCTACCTATCTTATGGCCATTGTTTTAAGCTACGCTTAAGCCTTAAGGAACCTTAAAAATACAATTTGCATTCCACCGTTTACTAAACCCGACTTAAAATGTCTTAAGGCTCCGTAAATATAAGCCCTCGAAATTCTAGGCTTATCTCTGCTAACTATACTTAAGTGGTTGCTTGTACCTAACCTAATTCAGTAATTTCGTTTTATCTGTACTGGAAAAATAAACAAAAAGATGGACAATGATGAATATGATGAAAATGATATCTTTAATGATGATCTAGATATACTGGAAATAATAGAGTATGGCTTTCCTCGAATTATATACCGGAGAAGTGATCACTTCCATACAATGGACAGTTAAACTTTTTTTGAGAAGATACCGGCTGTATAAGGAAACGGTATTGCACCTTGTGACCTTAATTGAAGAAGATCTTGAATTTCCAAGTGATATGTAAGTTCTTAAAAAGCATCAGTGATAAATTAAAAAAATTGTTTTAATTTTTAGTAATAATTATGTATCGCCAATAAATCAATTATTATGTTGCCTACGATTTTACTCCAGTGCAGGACACCTCAGTGTTATTGCTGATAATGCTGGAGTAACAATATCCTCAGCTTCACGTATTATAAAGAGGGTATCGGTAGCTATTGCAAGACTGCACAATAATTTTATTAGAATGCCAACTGAAGGGGACATAATTAGACAGCAAAACAAATTTTATGAGATAGCATAATTTCCGAGAGTGGCTGGATCGATAGATTGCACACATGTAAAAATTCAGTCTCCAGGTAAATATGACGAGAAGAAAATAGATTTTTTCCAACATGTTTCCATATTTTTTTGTTTAATAATCATTTTATTATTTTTAGGTGGAGACGATGGCGAAATTTTTAGAAATCGAAAGTCATATTTCTCAGTGAATGTGCAGACAGTATGTGATACTGATAAAAAAGTAACAGATTTGGTTGCTCGCTGGCTAGGATCTGTTCATGATGCAACCATTTTTAACAACAGTAACATAAATGCTCGTTTTGAGACTGGAGAATTTAATAATACTTTTTTAATAGGTAAATAAAATATTGATTTTATAAAATGTCATAGGTATCTTTGAAGTTATTATGTATTGATCTGTTATTTTAAAATTAACATGTTTACCTTTTCAGAAGACAGTGCTTACCCACTAAAGCAGTATTTATTAACTCCACTGGCTAACCCAGCTACTCGTGCAGAACAGCTTTATAATGAAGCTCACATTAGAACGAGGAATAAGGTAGAAACATTATTTGGAATATGGAAGAGAAGGTTCCCCGTTTTAGCTTATGGAATGCGATTAAAACTTGAGACTGTTTTAATCATAATAACAGCAACAGCTGTTTTACATAATCTGACAATTCAGATGAATGAACCTGAACCTCCACCACCTGAAGAGATCAATATAGATGAGTTAAATTATTTGATCAATATGGCACAAATTCCAGAAGTACAACCTGTAGCACAAAATAATTCGCATGCTTTTAATGTTAGAGCCAACTTAATCAACAATTATTTTGCTAATTTATAAAGTATTTTTGTTATAATCGTTAAAGTCTTTAATACTATTTTTAAACATTTTCAAAACTTGATTTCATTATTTATAACTTCGACCTTCACCCATCGAGTTTGCTAATGAAATTTGAATTTTGATAATATAATGCTCGATATAATGTATTAATAAGCAAAGCTTGTTGTGGTTGACATCCAATTTCCCTGCACAGCTATTTTTAATAAAAAATTAAACTTCAATTCAATTCAATTAAAAATTAAAGTTCAATTCAAAGTTACCTGCTTATACCCGTCTACCTGGTTTTATGCAAGGAACAAAAATGTTAACCAAACTTTGGCATATTGTATACATATTTTACTTTCGATTGGTAATAAATTTATTCAAAAACTCAATAATTGCAATAATGAAAAAAAACTTTAATTTTTTATTAAAAATAGCTGTGCAGGGAAATTGGTTGTCGACAAAATTAACTTTTGTTTATTAATACATTATAATATCAAAATTCAAATTTCATTAGAAAACTTCATGGATGAAGGTCGATCTAGGTCGGGATCTTATACTATAAGTATCGATGAATTGCCATAAAAAGATTATGTTAATTGACATTCAAAATTCAGGGATTTTTTTTTGTTATTCTATATGTTTCGTTATTTAATATTTATTTTATACAAAATAAATATCAATACATATTTGATTGTTTTTATTAAAAATATTTTATAAAAATAAATAATCATTTTTTATAATGAAGCTGCCAATAAAATATTTTTTAAATTAATATATGAACACATTTATTTATTTAAAACTTAGTAATGATAAAAATATACTTAACAATACACACACATCGTCATATTTTAATTTTACCTCAAAAAGTTATAAATCATAATAAAGAGCTTTGTTTTTCTTCTGAAGAAGGTTAGTTTTCAGAGAATGTTCTTCTTTTTGCATACTGACATCAGTTACTATCTTTTTTGTTACCATATCTGCAATTGTCAACCGTTTATCAACTAATACATTATATTTTTCGGCTAAGTGGGAAGAAGTTAAGGCTTTTACTGTTGTTGCTGGACGTCTTCTATTCACAGATTTATTTTTTCGAACTGGTGTGTTTTGGATCTGAAATAGAATAAGATGTATCATATGAATGTGTCAAAAAATAATTATACATAGGTAATTTATCTGTCTACTCCAAAATGACGAAAATATGTAAAAACCTACAATTTATCCAATTTATCTCACGAAGATTAAAATAATTTGCTTTTCGGTGTTTTTTTATTTTTAGTTAGTAAAGTTGGCTTCCGATAGATAGTAAGTACACTTACATCTTCGTGAAATGTCTGAGCGTTTCTTTTTGAAGACATTACCCCCCCAGAAATTCACAAATAGAAGATAGCTATAATATAAAATTTCTTCCAAAGAATCTTTGATATCTAACTACTGTTAAAATTACTGTTTAAACACCAAGTAATATGTAGTGTTTATTATATAGTATTTATAATTATCAATTTTTCAAATATTGTGAGCTATTTTGACAGTTAAACTAGTAAAAGTGCATATCTACCAAATGTTCATTTCGACATCTTTGAAGAGGGCTGCTGAGTGGTGCCTGTAAATCTGTAGGTTTATATTTTTTCCAAGTGTTTTCTTTATTATTATCTGTATCAATATCCTAGAAATGACAAATATAATGAACATTGATGACCTCTATGATTATTTTAAGAATATGTGGGTACAAACCTCAAAATATTCGTCGTCTTCTTGCGCTTCATAAGAATCTAAATCAGTTTCATCCTAGAAATAAAGCAAAACATCATTTGAGAGAGTAGGGAGTACTTTGTGAAACAAGATATTTTTAAAAACAAATAAATGTATTTCACTTTTTTTGCTTGTACTTACATTAGCTGTAGAAGAAAATAAGAAACCATCATTTGTCTTTTGTTTAACGTTATTGTCAATATAGAACCAGGAGTATTTTCGTTATTTACTTCTAATATTATTTCAGTATTAATGCTGTCACTACCAAAAGGGTTAGTCAATCCAAACACCGATTTGTTATTCATAAGCGATAACACCAACTCGTGGCTTGGGTCTTTTGTAAATTTAAGTGTAGTGCCACCTCCTGTTAGATTTATTACTTTTTTTTCACAGGCAACAATTTTACGAACTTCCTTTTTTTTGTTTTCATAAAACTTTTTTAATGATTCTACTGTTCTGTGAATATTATTTGGCGACAATGAGTTAAATTCACCTGCTATCATGTTCCAAGCATTTGTTTTTTGTTGTACAGAAACATTATCGGTTTTTTTATTCTCCACTATATTTTTATAATTTCCTATTACGTTCATTAGTAATTATTTTTTCTTCATTATTAAAATTTGCCGATCGTTTTTTTGGAGGAATTATTTCCATTCTTAAATCTTAATCTTAACACAGAAAAGGCAGTCACAGTTTTGAAGTTTTGAGTCTTCAGAGCACAAAACATATCTTCAGAGTTTTGATTTAATTGAGGTTAAGAAATAGGCATGAAGCTAACAACAAGTGCAAAAAACCAAAAATTAATATTGGCTTTTTAAGTAGACTTTACAAATGAAACTTAATAATTCAGCGGTGGAAACATTACTATTTTAAACGCCCTTAGTTAACTACACTTAAAAGACAATACGGTGGAAATGGCCATTATACCTACAGACGTACAAATTTTTATTTTTTATGTATTGTCATATTTAAAAGTAGGTTCACGTTGGCAACGCTGTAGTTGTCAGTGGTTAGGATTGTCTTGAGGATTGTCTGGTCTGAGGTCTTTGTTGGAAACCCTGCCTGGGAAGAAAAGAAAGAATTGTCAAATGAGAATGACGTGTGTCAAAACTGTCAAAAACTTTGCGTTTAAAGCTTTTGACCGTGTTTTTGTATGTTGAATATTTTAAAATTAAATCTTATAAAATTTTATTAAGTTATGAGCAACTTTTTTTCATTTGTACAAATTTTATAAAATGGTAAAATTATATTGCTTAAGTATTTTATACAAAGGACCGACTAATGCTACTTGGTTAAAATCGGCATATGAATTGCAAAGTTTTAGTTTTTTTCAACGAGGTAGTGTGCAAGAGTTTATGTCATTTTTTTGTAAAACAATAGTGGAACGAACAATACCAGCTTCACGTCAGTCTGTTAAGGAAGGAGGTTTGCATAATGACCTATTTAATTTATTAGTCTAATTAAACATTTTCAGAGTATATGTGTCATGTTTATGTACGAGCAGATAATTTGGCAGGTGTAGTTATATCGGATCATGAGTACCCATCAAGAGTTTCCCATACTCTTATTACTAAAATTTTAGATGAGTTTAGTGAGAAGATACCAAAAGCAAATTGGCCAACTATTCAAGAAAGAGATGTGGCATTTCCTCAGCTACACACATACCTTACGAAATACCAGAATCCTAGAGAAGCTGATGCTATGACTAAAATACAAGAAGATCTTGACGAAACAAAAATTATTTTGGTAATGATACTTAAATTCTTATGATTAGATATTTATAGGAAGATTTCACTTTTTTCGACTTTTGCTGGTTCTCGGTCACTAGAGGATATTAAACTCAGTAATAGCAAAACCCTAAGATTACAAATTAACATTATTATATGGAGGGCTCTGAAGCCTATCAGTGTTAGTCACTGAATATAGAAAGTGGCAACATTGGCTAATTGTAAATCTTGTAATAAAATAAAAATTCCCATAAACATAGTAATAATTATTTTTATTGAGATATAGGTAACATTTCATACATTCATACATTTCATACAGTTCAACTTTAAGAAGAAACCTTCAATAGGTAACTCAATTTCCAGAGAAGTGACTTACACTGATCGGCTTCTGAGCCCTCCATATCATTAAATTTCAGTATTGCTCCATCTGCTGCATAAAATATTAATTTTGACATTGTTTAAATATGATGGTATAATGGATTTTGCAGTGACTTTGATATTTGATATAAAAATTGTTTTGTAGCATTTAGAAAATAAAAAAATGATTTATTATATTTTGTGATGTTACGATTAATGGTATTTAAAATGAGACTGAATATTAAATTCAGGTCGTTCTTGTTGCATTTAGGTTGAAATAAGTGATGGGAAAGGGAAACAAACTTAAAAATATTATTGTCCAAGAAGTATAATGCTTCCAATATTAGTAATTTTTTCTGTTACGACATCCTCTTCTCAAAAATAAATATAATCCAATATTCAATTTTCGGGCACCAAATCAAGCAATTATTAAATATTTTCCAATTTTTATTTGTATCCTGAAAAAAGGTTTTTGCCACTTACCATTTTTTATCTTTAAGTGGCCAACAATAGGACAAGTACTTGATGTTCTTGGCCATCTTAATTATTTTCAGTTTACATTTTTATTTTTTTATTCTGGATTTCTGCTCGTATGAGTACAGAATTTTTCATAATGAACTGACAGATACAACTAGGTGTCATTTTATTTTTCAGAAAATGATTATTTTTTTGTACCTTAAATTTTAATTTGGTATTAGCATTCTAGTTTTTAAATTACATAATACCGTAACTTTATGAAAAATGAAGATCTCAGGGAGGGCAACCCCTACTCTAATTTTTTTATTTCTTGAACAAAATATTTCATCATGAATGAAAATTTAATTGGTGTTCTATTAAAAAAAAAATACATTTATTTTTGGCAGTACTTCAGAAATTAACAAATATATTTGGTTATTTTTCTAGCACATAATAATGCTGAACTATACTTTTAAATAAAAGTTGTAGACTGTATTGTCCAGTAATATGGAAGATTTCTATATGATTCTCCTTGTAAGTTTTTTGTTTATCAATAGCTGTTGTTTATTAATGAGGACTCCAAAGATAATTACGGGTGAATTAGTGGTATTTCTTAATATTGCTACTACTGAAATCATGATGACTTGAAATTAAATTCTATTTTTTTTTATATCTGCTGTGAATTAGTCTATATCAATAAACCAATTTTAATATTCTATATGTGAAAAATACAATATATGGTATAACTTTTTTTTGATATCCTATTTACCTGCCTACCTATCACAATAAAATTGTTACCATTTTCAGATAAAGGATATTATTTGAAATCATTAATACATAACAAAAACATGTCAATTGAAATATATAATACTTAGATTTTCATTTTCAGCATAATACAATACAAGCAGTGCTAGAAAGAGGAGAAAAATTGGACGACTTGGTTTCAAAATCAGAAGGATTAAGTATTCAGTCAAAGGCGTTTTATAAAACAGCAAGGAAAACAAATAGTTGTTGCTCATTTAGTTAAATAATGACATTCCTTTAATATTACTATTTTATTTTAGCCAAAAAGTTGTAACGTTAATGTATGTAATTTATGCAGGGGTAAACCGTCATGTATTGGAATTATGAGCTTCGTGTATTTATATGCCATGCCAAAACATATTGTAAATTAGTGTCTCTGATTTTATCTAACATAATTTATATAAGATTTCCGTAAATTGAATTAATTCATTTACAGTATACTGAAAATTTAAAACAAATTATAAATTGTATATTGATGTAAAAATAAAAAGTACCACGCATTCAACTGATCTATTCATTTAGTATAAATGGTTGATTATTGAAACGGTTGATATACAATTGATTACATCAAACAAAATTATAATTTATAAATGTCATTTCTTTTTAATGTAGTTCATGTTTTGCACCAATGTTTTGATGAAATCTTATTTTTAATTTCTAAATAATTATTTTTGAAAGCAATAATTCCTTTGCAAAAGAAAACGGTTAATGTAAAATATTTGGTTTCAAGACATAATACGGTAAACAGCAAAAAAAAATATTGCTTTAGATTGCATTTTCAAAAAAGAGAACACCAAAACATTTTAATTGTTTTTTTTTTGTTACCTTTCGTGTATATTTGATTTTCTCAGGTTGTTGCCAAAAGGGAAATTTAAAGTAATATTTTTATAAGTGTAGGATGTTTGATGATTTCTATGTAGATCCACAGAGAATTTTTGACTAAAAAATTTCAAAACAAATTTGCAAAATAAAATAATAAAATTGCCAAGTATTTTCTTTCATAATCAACTAATAGAAACAGATGTTTTCTTGTTTTTTGCAAAATTTTTATTTTTAAAGTTTACAGCATTTTTTTGAAGTTTGAGAAATAGAATGAACCAAATTAAAATATAAACGGATATTCTATACAGAAAAATTTACTTTGCAAAAAATAAATAAAACATTCGATTACATCTATTAGTAGATTAGGAAAAAAATATATTTTGGAAATAAACAGGGTGTCCCATAATTATACACTTGAATATCTCGTCAAGGAAGCTACCAATTCGAAAATAACCCTTAAGAAAGTTGTTGCGTTCAGAGAGGAATATTTAATGGTGTCATTCAATTTAACTTTGACGAAGAAAAAGAGCCTTAAGTACCTATCTAAATATAGACGAACGTATCTATCTAAACGTAAACGAGCCTTAAGTACCTATCCAAACGTAAAATTTTGAGGTCTTTCTGAATCAGGGGTCAAAATAGGGGTTGAAGGTCACCATTCGATATCCCCCTTCGAACCTAACAACTTTCGTAAGGGTTATTTTCGGATTGGTGGCTTCCCAGACGAGATATTCAGGTGCGTAATTTAAAATATTTTGTCCTTGAAATATCCTTCAGAGGTTATTCAGCAATATGCCTTATCCTTAAATACCGCTCTAAACTTAAAATTTTGCTCTCTTTCCGAATCCAGAGTCAAAAATAGAGGTTCCTATTATAAAAATTAAATTTTATCTTCAGATGACCTTGAAGCTCAAATCCAAGGTCACTATCAGATGCCCCCTCCTAACCCAATAACTTTCGTAAGGGTTATTTTCGGATTGGTGGCTTCCCTGACGAGATATGCAGTTGCCTAATTTAAAATAGGACACTGTATATGCAACTGTTTTTGAGATCTCTGAATCGACCACGACTATTTTAATTTAATTACGCAAATTTTATTCTAAAATCACTAAAGTTCTCAATGTGGGCGTAGGTATATAATCTAAAGTGGAGAACACATCTACGCGATCACGATCGTGATCACCTTTTTCAGAGAACGCACATGCGCCATGATGATATTTGTTGAGACAGAATTCCAAGAAAGCCCCTATGTCACTTTCTTGGAATTAACCGCATTCGACACCCGAGCTAGAAATACATTGGCGGCAGGGGATAATCTAAGGAATTTTAAGAACTACCCAAAATCAAACCCTATGCTAGCTTAAAGAAAGCGCCCGAAAAATTCGATGTGTGCAAATAACAGACACGCATTTTTTTATACAAACAAATAAGGAAGGAGGTCTACTTCTAATAATCAAATTTTGTAACTGACCTTTTTAACTTTTAGCACTAACTTTTTTTTTTTTTAAGAACTGCCTTTTCAGTTAGGACTAACCCTTAGATTATTCGCTGATTGGCGGAAAAATTGAAGGCACGCCCCTGCTGCGGTAAATTGTTACAGTAATTCCTATATCACAACTTTATTGGTTTATTCTTGGAGTTCTATCTTAATAAATATCGTACGGATTGTACTAGTGCACAAAAATGTCTAACTTGTGGGAAGAAGTTTTGCTATTTGCGGTATGAAGAACGACTACTTAATTAATTACTTAGAGAGGGTAAGTAAGGTAATAAAGTTATGAAATTAATTTAAATAGCGTAGGTACCTATTTTATAAATCTGGCCTGTCGTATCTATTTCAATTTAGTAGGTTAACTATTTATCATAACGTTTATTTTACAGAAAAAGAACTGTTTGGTTCATTTCATTACATAATATTAACCTGAAGTGCAAAAAGAAGGCGAATTGCACAAATTGTATACCGATTTTCGTAGAAATCTTAATTGTTTTACGCGTATTTTAGAATGGATTTTGAACCGATTAATGCCACTGAACGATTAGCTGACTTATAATAATTTGTTAGTTTTTACAAACGGGTACAATTTTGTTGATTTAGATAAAACAAGTTTATTTGTTATATTTTTTTATTGAAATAAATTGTGTTAATACAACAAAGATAACTTAGTAGATTTTTGGATTGCCTATCTAAAATCTTAAATATCTTTGCGACATAAATCATGTTACCAGACGCTATAAGATCCTTCCGGTATATTTTGTGCGTTGGGTACAGAACCGGATTAACCTATAGTGAGGTCCGCGTCTACGTAGGCCCTCTTTCCAAAAAAAGATATTAAATTTCAAAACCTAATCAACAACTTGTCGATATAAAATTTCAAAACACTTTTTGGTTTGATCTTGCCGAGGCCCACCGATCTCGTACCCCCACCTTAATCCGGCCCTGGTTGGGTATACATATATTCATCATTTGTCGATTTTATTTATTGTGGAGCTGGACAAAGCTGAAGAGTCTACAGAAAAACTTGATCCTGCCAGATTTTCTGCTTGAGTTTCTGCTTCTGCTTGTTGCGCTAACTCTTCTTCCATTATTAATTTAGCGATTTTATATTTGACTAATGTTTGACGTCGTATAGACAGTTTCTTTACACTAGCTGCATATCCTTGAAACATTAAATCTATTTCATCAGGACTTGATTCAGTGTTTTTATGTTGATGCTTTTCCAAAAAATTTATAACTTTGTCAACAAAAGTAGTTTGTGACTTTGGTTGTTCAGGCCTTTTTCTTTTAGTATATAGGGTTTTTTCCTGATGTTTTTCTTGGGTGTTGTTTATTTCAAATGGCAAAATTTCTATCTTCGTAATTTCACTCTGAACATTAGAAGTGTCGGTTTCTTCAGCACCTGCTTCTGGAGACGGTTCTGCGCCAAGATCGGAAATATTGAATTCTGTGTGACCAAACTGTAAGAAGGGCCGGAATGCTTCCATGTGTTGTGCCCAAGGCCATGACTTGTAGCGGCAAATAGACTTGGCTTGCTGTCCAGTTCGGGTTTTTTTAGAACGTAGGTATTTTGAGTAACAATCTCTCAAGTTTTTCCATCGTTTTTTGAGGTCATTGCCTATAAATGAATATAATATAATTTTTATTCATAAAATATCCATTTCTCGAATCGAATATTATTTTCTTGCAAAAAGGGACAACATAACTAAATCAAATACAAAAATTTTACAGGTAACCAATTTCGGTAAAACAGACTGTATTACCTGTATTATACAGTAAAGAGTAAATACATACTCGAATGCCTAACTTATCGTTAATTTTACTGACATTTCTAGGGCTAGTTATCAATTGTCGAAGAAACGTGGATTTATAGAGAACCACCTGCAACCAATTTATACGCCTGAAGCAACAATAGAATTATGGAAAAGATATATATAAAGGCCTACAAAGATTTTTGGCAATTTCCTAATTGTTTCGGAAGTATAGATGGCAAACACGTGACTATCGAATGTCCCCAAATTTGCAGATCGAACTACTCAATACTCATTAAAAAAAATTCCATATGGCGATTGTTGATCCTCAGTATAAATTTATTTGTATAGATGTAGGTGGATATGGTTAAAACAGTGATGGCGGTATCTTCGAAACATCAGCTATGGTTATGAAATTTGCAAGGGAAACCATGAATGAAAATTTCTTACGTTTTAATTGGTAATGAAGCTTTTACACTTTTACCTTAAATCCAGGACCGTCTTTACGCACAGGCCTAATAGGCCCGGGCCTAAGGCCCCGGGCATGTTGGGGGCCACGACATTAGAATCAATCGCGAAAAAAAATTATTTATTCCAATATATTGCCGATGAAATTTTCCAACAAAAAAGACCTTAGAACTCCCATAGTATAGTCTTTCCGAAGTCAGTTGAACATGTACAAAAAAGGCGAGCAATAAAATTTAATGAGTTTCATAGGCGTCCCTAAAGAAGTTTTCTGCTAAAGGTAATAAATTATAATTTGTAGAGGTCTTTTAATATCTCATGAGCCGCGAAATGCGTGGCGTATCCCTATAATTCTTCTAATAAGCACGTTGTGAAAACATTGACCATGTGCATCATTACAAGTAGAAATGAACTAAGGCCCTCGGGCATCAATAAAGTCAACTGGCGAACGTTGGTTATATATATTTTTATTGTTTAAATTAAAATAATAAAGAATAGGGCATTTTATTATGATATTTGTAATCGGATCAAAGGCTTGTTTACGATAGAGCTCGAGAGAGACTGTGAATAATAGGTGTAATGTTTTTAGGACGTAGAATAATTTAGGCGACGGTCGGAATTATGTTTCTGCGCATATGAAGGTCAAAGCTCATAAGATTTTAAAACATCTCTATATAATGTGTAGAAAATTTCTATTATATGTTCATTTGACCAACAACATATTTTAATTTATATATCCTCAAATAATTTTATTATATTGATGGTAAATTTCGTTTTGTTCCGTTTCAAAAGGTCTCCAAAATGTCTTGTTGTAATAATATTAGTAAACAAAATGTCTCTCTTATTTCTCCTTTTCGCAACTGTAATATGAATGATTAATAGAAGGTGCCTATAATAAATTAAAATTACTTGAATCACGCATTGCTGCACTGCACTGCCCGACGACTTGTCGACAACTGAAATTTATGACGCAGTCGGCCAGACCAACAGTGCTGCGTAACGCCGTTTGCACATACATTTCACCTGCACGTTTAGTTCGACCAGACCTATATATGGGTATGGCTAAATAAAGATGGGAACAAGTTTTTCAAATATTTCAATGCCGAGATGCTGCTTCAGCGACCGAACCTGGTACATATTGTCATCCTCTTGGTTCTTCAATTGATATCGGAAAGACTATAATAACAATAAAATAATTAATTACATTAATTATNAACCTCTTCAAAAATAATGTTGAATAACAATTCTTATAAGCTTTAAAATCCCCATAGTAATAACAATAAGTAATTAATTACATTAATCATTTAATGTAATAATATTTATTATATAATATAGAAATGTAACATTACAATCACACGAACTTGCATTCGTTGCAAGCAAATGTAATAACAGGCTTGTTTTATAATTGCTACACTCTAAGCTTGTCAAAACGCGCATGAAGATTCCGCGCCGCATGGGGCAATCTAGTCGCGCATGCGCGCGCTACCAGAGCAGAGCTCGCGGTAAATTTGAAAGACACTGGACCAACTTTACACAAAAATAATCCTAGTCCGTACTCGAAATAATTCTAAACAGATATTTTTTACACGGAAAAATTCTACACAGTTTTTACACATAATTTTTTTATATATAGCAAATATACTATCCTATGTAAAATTATTTCATAGATGGTGTAGGGTTATTTTTAAATAAAGTTTGTCCAGTACCATTTGAAATAGTTGCTTATGTGCTTATTACCTAAGCTTCTAATAAAAGCGAATTACGACGATATAAGTCCAGCTTTTGATATTCGAAAGGTTTGATGCGTTTTTTCCACATTTACTGGGGGCCCCATCGATACTTGGGACTTGGGCCTCATACCTTGTAAAGACGGCCCTGCTTAAATCCCCACTTAATGAAACCATTTTCTTATAGACAATTACGATATGACAACAATACGGAAAGATCAAATAATTCTATAAAAAAAAAGTTTGCTTACCTCCTGTTGTCCCTAAATTTAGTTTCTTACTAATTTCGTTCCAAACCTTGTTTTTAACACGAACATTCTTATAATCAGGGTGCGACAGATCGAAGAGTACTGGATATTTTTTAATAATTTTAATTAATTTCTCTGTAAATTCCGTACTCATATTGGTGCGTTCTGAACGTCAACAAATTATATCGCTACGATCACAGCGATTTAATATTGCATGCAGTCGTAGCAAGTTTGTGCGGTTCCATTAGACGATGACGAATACAATCGCGATCGCCATCGCAATCGTGAACGCGTAGATGTTACTGCACCCTGTTGACCAGTGGCGGAACTTCAAAGTTTGGACTTACCCAACAAAATTAATTTCCAACATTTTCCACATGAATTATTGAATTGAATTGAATGAATATGTCGAAAAAGTCATTACCATATACATTTTTGCATGCTAGAGGTAGTAGGGAGCATAGCCAATCACCAATGTTATATAGGTGGCACTGGCATAACGCCATAATTTCTACGCAACTGATTTTCTCCAATTTTCCGTGAATTTGGAATTTCTAACATAGTTAAATTTGTATATATAATATAAAGTTTGTGTTCTTTCGGCACTCTGTCCTGTTACCTCTAGTAAAATGCGAAATATATATTTTCTTTTTACATTTTCATTAATACATTTAACTTAAAATCGCATTTTTAATACAACTTCGCACATTCAGACAAACTCATAAAAATGATCATCGACACGTGACCGTAGAAATAGCGATAACTCATTATTGTCGAGTCTTTGCACAAGTTTTTTTTTAATTTTTTGGAAGGAAATTTGCCCACAAGTGTTGCAATATTCCAATAACAAAATTGTACAGATGATTCTTTGGGTAAAAATAAGAAAAATAGATTGTATGAACATAATCTCCTAAATGGCTTAATTTTCGTGATATATTCAAGGTCTTTTATTCAGGCTAAATAATGCATACCTACAACTTAAAAATTCGCATTGCTACTAACAACCCCAGAATTTCGAGGCGACTAAGTATTTTGAAAAGTTGGTAAGTGTAAAAATCACATTACATTTTACTGACAATGAGATGAGCCATAAATAGTGTCTAGTCTAGATGTTGCTTCAAAGCTGTCCTTATATGCAATTATTCTTAATAAAAAATTGAAATTGAGATCAAGATAGGTTTTTTTATGTAATACGTACCTACGTCGAAGACTTATATCGTAAACATTATTTTGTTGTAGTAATCTGACAAGTTTTTTTATTTGACGTATGCCATTTGTGAGTTATTTGTAAATCTTTTTTACCATATTTTTTATAAATAAAATTTTAAATGCATTGTGACCATCAAAAGTTCAATAAAATCACTGACAGAAATTAATATTTTTTGAGGAGCAATGGGTTCTCTTAGAAAATTCAATGTTTACTGAACATTTGATGACGAAGTAGTTTTTAAAATATTATTTAAGTATATATAAAAATATGGATTTTTTTTGTATAATGCGTAGTTTTACAATTATTGACTATTTATTTTATACTTACTATTAAAAAAAAAATGTAACGATAATGTAGATTTTTTTCTCCTTGAAATACATTTAGGAAATACACTTGTCGAATTTCTAAAATACTTAATGGCCTCGAAATCCTAAGAATTTTAGTAGTAACATGTATATCCAGTATGAGTTTTTATCTTTAGTTTATGTCAAACATTTAGGATATCTATAGGTTCATACAAATTTAAGAAAAGGTCACGCAATCACCGATATAAAATTTCAAACACTTTTTGTTTTGATAAAAAAAAAACAGTAATAAATTTCAAAACCATAACAAATTTTTCTTTGATTATAAAAAAAAGGTCACGCAATTACCAACTTGTCGATATAAAATTCAAACACTGTTTGGTTTGATTGAAAAAAACAAATTGCCAGATTTTGTCGAAGCCCCTCGATATCGTGAGGCCCGGGGCTACAGCCCCCGTAGCCCTCTTTAATCCGGCCCGGTGTATAATAACCACTAATTTTGGGCATAATTTAGGAACACGTTAGATGTTACATGCTTGCAGCACTAATGATATTTGATCGCTTCTTTATGTCATACAATGGGAAATAATGAAATGAAAAAAATGTTGGTTTCTGTATACTTTCCACTTTCTGTGTTAACGGAACGTGTGAATTTTATTTGAAATAAATAAATATGTATTTTAATAGTTTTTCTACAAATCGTGTATGAAAGTAGCGTTACATGTTACATCAAATCCGTACAAACATCGTTACCTTTTTATTGCCTGCTTTCATTGTCCTACCGTCAATTATACTTCTAGAGATTTTCGTGTCTGTTGTTTGTATTTTATAAATTGTTCTGGGAAAATAGATGTTTCAGTTGACTCAGATGAATAGGGATTTACATTTTAATTACTTATTGGAAACCTTACTATAAAATTAAAAGACCTCGTCTGCAGCAGTCATACAGAAATGCTAATATAGAACCCAGTTTTGTGGTTTCCCAGATTCACCCACTTTTCCACCTGCTGATATATTTACCTGGAAATAATTAAATTTAAAGTATCTAAAGGAATAATATACGGAGTGTCTAATAAATGTCAGAAGATGGGGTGGGACTATATCGCGAAATTTCAAATTATATGTTGTGTTATGAAAGAAATATCCTCTTATTGGATTTCGATAGGACTTACTTACTTTAGAGTAAAATTGGTATTAAAAGTTCTTGAATCCCACGAAAATGTAAAAATCACCAAATCGGCTGTTCAATTAGTGTATCAAACTTTATTACTAGGCTATACGTTCAAAAATAAGGAAAATTATAGTAAACACAGGTTCGAAATTACTTCCTATTAGGGAGCTATAAGGGCTCTGAGGAGGAACCGTAATTTCTTTAGAAAGAAGGGTATTTTTTTTAATTCCTTTGTCAAATATAATTTTAAAGTTTGGAATGCTAATTATGGGACACTATGTAGCTATAACAAGAAACAATGTATACTGTATAATAGATATTAAAACATCTAGTAAAAACCCTTTTCTCATAAAATTTGTAAATGGTTCTAGTTCTAAAAGAACGATTTATAGACAATGATCTCATTTACAAATAAACCTTTGTTTTTTAAATATAAATCAAATAAATATTTGATTTTTATTTTTGTGTTTATCAGGGAAAAAACATTCTACTTTAGATATCTGCTTCCAGTCTGAGTCTAACTTTAAATTTTTACCCTTGCTTATTGTTGTTTTCGTGTATTATTTCTTAATCTATGACCTGGTTTATATTTGCTACTAAATATCAAAAACTAAATTCGTGTCAAATGAAAAGAAAAGAGTAACATCTTTTGTTGCTGAAATATTCTATCAAGTTCCAAACTATCTAACATTTTCTACTGGTTTTCCACAAGGTTCCGTTTTAGGACCTGTTTTATTTATTATTTATACCAGCCAATTCGTTAAATTTGTTAAATATTGCGTTCTATGCATATGTACTCTGATTCAACTTTATTATTAATTAAATTCCTTAGATTATGAACTAGCTACTGATATTATTAGTGATATATAATTATTTATGACTTTTCTAAAAATCATCAACTAGTTTTGAGCCCTTCAGCTGAGGTTTTATTTGGAAATAAACGTATTGTTTCTAACTTGGACAATTTGATTAAACTTGAATAAATGAGTTCAAGATTTCTGAAAGCGTCAAAAATGTAAGTTTAATTTTAAATCCGTCATTAAAGTTTATAGAACATTTTGTAAATTCATACAAAAATCGTCCAATACATTAAATGCTCATTTTAAACATGGTAAATCAACAACATCCTAATTTACTGTGCTTTCTTCAAAATAAAATTTCATTCCAAAGTACATAATATTCGATGAAAAGGCACCGCCATAAAACTGCTTTCTTTGAAAGAGTCTTGAAATGTGTCATATATAAAATTTACAATAAATTTTCTTCAGATGTGACATTTTTTACATAAATAAATTTAAATCTTTATAATAAAGAGTATAATTAATAGAGCAGGATTTAAGATGAAAATATTTGCGTTATCTACCTCTTAGGTATGTACTTATTCCTTCTAATTTCAACTAACTTGAAATTTTTTATTTAAATTTAATGATACAATGAATTAGGGGTATATGAAAGACAGTGCTCCTTTATTAATACATATTTTGCATGTTTTAAAAATGTAGCAAAATTATTCGCATACTCGAACATATATGACAGAACTTGTGGTTTCACGAGAAAATACGGATCACTTTCGATTAATGCTGGCAGTTACGCGTTAAAACCTTGAATCATAAATTAACTCAGTAGCTGGAAGTGTATTGCTGGGAACACCACGACAGAAATATCTGTTGTATGTTAAACGCAACTTGAAATTGCTTCACTCACAGTGCTGCTTGAAAAACGAAGCATTTAAAAGAAGCCGCGCATTGTGTTAAATTTAGTTTTAAATGTGATCTTTGATGAGCATTGTTATTTATAAGAGTTATAACTTATAATTAGATGTGTGAAATATTTGTAATTTTGTTGGCGAACAGTAAGTGGAAGAAGTGTATTTCTGTGCGGTGATTTTAGAAAGTTAACAAAATGAGTGTTACGTATTCACCCCTTCGGGACGCTGATCGTGTTAACACTGTAGGAAACATTGATTTAGCCCCCAAACATAATACAGAACCCGCAGCGGCTCCTCTATTGAATCCCTCTGCACCTCTCGCTAGAATTGAACTGGATGAAGACCTAGATGATAGAGAAATCGTTTCAAAACCCTACCCAGGGGTGGACGACGGATTTTTCACAGGGAAAGACAAAAACGATCATCCCGACGTTGAAACTATAAACCCAGAACACCCAAAACAACCTGATCCAGACGTGGAAATCATCCCAACCCATCCAAAAGATCCGGAACCCATTGAGCCTCCTCATGAGATTCCTGATGTAACTACAAGGAACGGTTTTCCTGGTGGTAATACTGACGATATCGACGGGAAACATGACAATTCTAATAGGCCCTTGACTCCTTCTACAGGTAAACCAACTTTTCCCTATGCCCCAGGGTATGGATTTCCCTATGGGCATGACTTAGAAGTGGGTAGCATACCCGGTGACCCAGAATCTATACCTGATGTGAACGTTTACCAACACAAGAAGACTTTGGCTCAAGGCATGATGGACTTGGCTCTGTTTTCGGCCAACGCAAACCAATTGAGATACGTTTTGGAGAGCTTTAACCGTCATCCTTACTACTACCCGAGCTTAGGATTGATCTCAGTTAGCTTAATATTACAAGTAAGTTTCGTAATATAATAACAAATAGAATCAGCAATAGCAATATAGTTGTATTTGTTATTTATGCCTTATATGCAAAAAATTCATATCGAGAGCAACGTTTTTTGAAAATATCTAAACGCTGAACTGAGGTTAGTTGGTAAAGTAAAACAGGTTCAGATTATATTTTTATTCCATTGACATTAACCATAAATAGTGTTTCATGATCTTAAGTAAACCAGGTCAGTTTAAAAGAAATAAAAAATATGTATGTGTCTATGCAGTTATAGGTATACGAGTATGCACCTATGTGAAAAATACATATATGTAGGTAATAATTTAATTAAAATATATATATATTTTTTGCCTATTTTACTAATCGATAGGTTTAATTGTCCTTGACCTGAAACAAAGATAAAGGAAATAATATTTTAAATAATATGAGGTTTATTATGCAGTTCTAATAGTTAAAATTAAACGCAATTTCATTTGCAGAACAGGTCTACAGGTCAATTTTCTTACTGACGTAATTGTTTCACGACACTGACCTCTGATAACAAAGTCGTGAGCTCTACCATTCGCTTTTCTTTTGACATTTAAAATGAATTTTAACGTTCTTACAAAAAATTTTGCAGCGATTGTACTTTCGTCTGACATAATTATATCTACATCGAAAAATATGGTATTTATGAAGTTACCGACTTCTAAATGGTTGTACAAGGTGTTCCAATTAGTTCAAGCAATTAACACAATAAATAAAAATACTCTAAACTCAAATATATATTTGTAAAAAGACGCCTATTTCGTTTGCTACTTTTTTTTTGTTTAATTTTTTTATAGGAAATATAACAACCCTACGTTATTTTACACCCCTTGAAATCCTTTTTTAGTTATAAAAAAATTATTTTAATTTTTTAAAATTGACCCCTTTTTGATATTAGTTAGTAAACAATTAATTATTATACGTTCCAGAAATGGCCTTTTTTAGACTTTAGTGATTTTAGTGATTAAAAGGGTAGTATATTACCTTAATGAGTTGTAATCGTATAAATCGGAACTTCCTGTTATAAAAATTGAAAATTTACTTTCAATGAAGATAGAAAATACATATAAGTATTTTCTCTCCATTTAATTTGAATCCTGAAAGGTATCTGTAAAATCTGCAGGTTGATATCTAAGTACCTATTTTGCAATCATTTTCCTCAACAATCTGCGATGAATCAATTCTTAAACATACTACGTTTTTCTTATTCGAGTACCTCTTGTATCCAACAATTGAATTTTCAAAAATATGTGTTCATATATGGCACTTTGCAGATGTATGAAGCTGTAGTTGCTATTTCAGTTTTATTTTCAGTTCGGAAGATCTAATTGTTTAGTGAATTAAAGTCCAAATTTTGCGTGCAATATGGGAGATAATATTAACACATCTTTATATTTACAAATAAGTGTACTAACTTAATACACATACCATAAACACAGAGATTACATCAATGTTATTATTGTAAATACATAAATATTTATTACTAGTAAGTTGTTAAATGAATTTTAATCCAAAGTATACAATAAATATCTAATTTTATACATCCAGGTATATAATTTTTTTCTTTCGCAATTTATTTGAGATAATTTGTCTTAAATTAAGATGCTGGACTAATAGAGTCAACCCTTAAGCTAGATCTGCTGCTGTTTCACAAAATTTAATTTTTACTTCAACATCAATAGTGAATAACTTTTGAAGGAGTAAATTTATGCAAAAATGCTAAGAGGCCTTTTTTTGTAGAGCATTAAATTTTCTTTGAAAATCTGTATTGTTCTTTTTCAGATATTATTTTGTTCGTTATTTAAAAAATTCCAAAGTTAAAAAGTCAAATCGAAAAAACATATCAATTTTCAAGGCTTGATTACATTGAAACGGCTCGTCTGCCGAAAATTTTCAATCAGACCTTTTTTGTGCGGCATTCAATTTCCTTCGAAAATATAAATTTTTTTTTTACCTCGATGGTTTGGCGGTTTTGACGCAAAAATGGAATCAGTAATAAAAAATCGAAACTAGCGATGATAGACCTCTTAAAGCTAATACTAAGGGCTCATACTCTCACGATATATATTTTTTTGTCATTCTGAATGATATTCTCGATATATCTTTCAAAAAAAATAGTCGATTTTTTTTGGTTTAGTCTAGTAGGTATACTTTTGTATATAAACAAGGGTAATTAGTCTCTATTCAACAAAACTAAAGGGTGTTCCAATGTGTCGGGTACAAACAAAGAGTATGAAACTACCACAAATTCTTAGAGGCATAATAAGACGATTTAGCTAAATTTACCTTTATCCAAAGTTGATTCGTTTAGTCGGTAGAGAGAACTTTGGAAAAAAAAATTGTTTTGCTTCTTATTTTTACCTCAAGAATCTTGTATCAGAACATTGCTACACCTTATATACCACTTTTCATTCCAAATGTTGTGCTCTGTAACAAGCGAAATTATGTGTATATTTTTCTTATTAAAAATCAATAAAGTTATGAATTTCAGGCAAACCATTTCTTTTAAAATCATTATCAATAATGTTGAATAGAAAGGACATACTCGACACAAAGAAAAATATTTTATGTTGAAGTGAAAATACCAGTGATTCATTAAAAATTCTTAATAAAAATGCGTCATACACATGTGCATTTATTTAAATAAGTACCTATGCTTTAATAAGGACATGTAATTACATTTATTACGGTGGGAAATACATAATTAGAATGAAATTAAAATTGCTTCCAGTCTAAAGGACAAACATAATACAGTTTTAAAATCGAAGCGTTTCTATAATAATATGAAGCGTACAGTACTATAAATAATATCAGATAAAAAAATGTTTGTTGCATATTTCATTGTTCACGCAATTACATTTAGAACAGCTTTACGTATGTTTTTTTTTTTCATTTTTCAGGTTGCTGTGGGAATAGGTCTCATTTGGAACGCAACTTACAACGTAAAGGATGAGAAAGAAATTTGTATAGCAAACAAAATTAGCAATTTTACAATAATTGGTATATTTTTAGTAACGGTAATCAATGTATTCATATCTGCATTCGGAGTTGCTAATCCGCCTTGATTTTTTTAGATAACTAAGTGGTACCTAACTGATTCTATTTTAAATAAATGTAAATGGAAAGTGTTCAGGGTAATGCAATTTTACATTCAGATGCTTCGGGAATGACGTCTTGCATTACTTTTGAAATATTAATTATAAGAAACATTTTTCTTATTTTATCGTTAAGTAAGTTAAAAATGTTTACAAATTTGAATAAAAAACATTGCTAATTTTCTCAGGGATTAATGCAAAAAATTAACAGGTAATTACTTGGAAACCTTTGACAAGGAAGCTTCAAAAAAATGGTTTAAAGCGGTCGGCTTTATTATTCCAATAAATTACAGATAATACCTATTAATCTTTTAGTTTACTGCCAATGAGAAAATCCGTTAAAAGTAAAAGTCATGTAAAGGACACAATTTAAAAATGTCAGTTTCTTCATAACTTACCGGAAGTATCTAAGTAAGCAAGTAAAGTTGTAGAGTCGGTAAGAAAATAATCTTTCACATTATTTAAATATTTGAAACTGAATTACATAATTTACTTTAAGATATGTTTCTTAAATCTTGAGCCAGATTATAATGCATTGACTTAATATAACGTATGCCACAACTTATTGCATCATTTCTATTTGTATTTACATTATTCATTGACCAGGAGAGCACCTACGCATCCTGCTCAATAGTTTCTTGAATTAATTGTTGGGATATAAAATAGTTAGCAAGTCTACTTGTGGATAGACAGTGATTTCAAAATTGATGTAATTTAATTTAATTCTCTGAAATACTAGTAATAATATATTCACGTTAAATAAAAAAAATATTGGGTCTTTCAAAATTAATAAAGAATATAGATCTGACCAATATTTTTGAAGCAAATGTCTAGGTACCTAAGTGTTATTGTGATTGTTCATAATATTTATAAGGAGAAAATAAATGACGTATTTTTAAATTAAGTATATACTTATCTGTCTTAGCCTTTGTTTTAAATTTTTTGTTTGTTTTATGTTAAATTAAGCTTATAGGTATGTATATATGCTAATACTATTATTAAAAATGTTTGTTTGTGCTAATAGCTGGCCAAACATAGCGTCTTTCCTTTTAAAAATCCTATAGCGTGTTGCAACAGCATGGTTAGACGACAAGAAATAATAGATTAGAGTGGGTAGTGTATTTTCAGTTCCACAGAAATAATCGTTAATGTGTGACCACAGCATTTGGCATGTTACAAATTGCATGTGTATATAACATACTACAAATGCGCTATTGAATGTATTTGTTATTTTATATATATA